GTGTCTTTTAAAAACCCCGACTCATCAGACCGGCTCAGACTCACTTCATACTCCACTAAAAGGTTCACGTCATTGTTGGTGCTGTGAGTCCTTCATTTTTCCAACTTTATCTCCCAACTCCAACCCATTCCAACAGGACTGCTCTCCCTCCCCCAGCCCCTCACTGTCCCTCTGTAAGCTTCAGTAGTGTTGACTCTACATGACTCTTGACCATGCCATCTGTATTCTGAGTTGGAGCTGGGCACCCTGAGTACCGTTCCCACACAGCCCCTTTGAGTCTCCAAGACAGAAGCCGCTCGTGATTCATCTACTTCCCTGGGTCCAGGCAGGAGACATGCATGTCACAGCAAAGCTGTTCTGATGGCTGAAATGAATCAAGGTGTCCCCGGCCTCCTGGTGAGGGTGGTTAAGCCAGGCCGATGGCTCCTGAATTGTACAGGCAGCTCAGCAGATTGTTTTGGGGAAATGCTGGCTTTGGAATGGTTTAGGGCACCCAGAAAGGGCTCGACAACAGCAGTGAGGCTGGAACCCACGAACAGGGGAGTGTGGCCTCCCACTGTCACCATTTCCCCCATTGGGGGGGGGGCAGAAGCTGTCACCCAAACTCCATGCCATGTCTGGATAGTCTACATGTGAAGTACAATGACGGTTACCTGTTAATGAGTGCCACCTCTCAAATCCAGTGGAGATCACCACACATCCATCTGCAGACCTGCACAAGGCAGATTACGGATGCACACCTGCTGTTGAAAGGTTGCCATGAAATAACAGGGTGCCAAAGCAGACCCTGGGATGGGCAAAGTGCAGTGTGTTCTAAAGCTCCTCTGGCTCAGTGCCAACTTTCTCTAGCTCGTCACACTCTTTCACAGACAAGGGGAATGTATTATTTAAACACTTGAGCCACTTTTGAAACCAGATTAGAAAAAAAAAAAACCAAATGACTAATTCCCCCAGAGGCTCTAAATTTAGGCAAACAACTGGGAACTCAACCAAACTGCTGGGAGACCATGTGTGTCAACAGGGACCTGGCTCACAGTTGCCCTGAGTGTCGCACAGTGCCTGGCATGTATGAGAGGAAAGCTCTCACGTATGTTTTTAAGTGAAGGAATTAATGAGTACCTCTTCTTTTATCTCCTCCAACAGACTACAATAGCAGTGAATTAAAAACAGCCTGCAAAAAGCATGAGCTTTATGTGAGCTTCCAGGACCTGGGATGGCAGGTGAGTCCTCAGAATAAGGATGGGCCTTGATGGGTACCTTGTTCATACCTCACCCATGGCTGCCGCCATCAGCTTCCGGGAGGAGCTGATTTTGGAATCCCGGGAGCTCTCAAATACTCAGGCTGTTGGAGTAAGGCAGGAAAACCTGTGCCCCCTTTATGGTTTTCTCTCTTTCCTCATTCTTTCCAAGCCTGAAGGGCGTGTATTTGGACATTTAAGCAACTTTTACTTAGAAACAGGATTACAAAAAAAAAAAATCTGATTAATAATTTCCTCAATAGCTCTAAATTGGCTCACCCAGTGGGAGATGTTTGGCCCATACCAAGTCCAGCTAAATGTACTGAGAAATGGGAGGTAAGAGTTGTTCTCTATGTAGGTGGCGTTACTTTGACAGGGCTGTAATGGGATCCTGCGGATGACCCTTTGGGTCTAAGTAGGCATGACAGATCCTGGCCTACAGTGTTTTAGCCGACCATTTTTCAGCTATATGACGATGTAGGAGCAGTATGTGTTCTCTAGAAATAGTGCTCTGAGTTTTGAGGTTGAGCCTTTCTGGGCTGGAGTCTCCTCAAAATTGGACATGCTGGGTGACAGCAGCTCTCAGTCAGCCCACAGTGCACTGTGCCTCAGATAGGGTGTTTGATATTTTAGGTGTATTATGGGCATTTAACGCTGGTGTTTTATTGAAATGTAACCCCCATCCTAAGTCAAGGAGCACTTAGTAAACGGAGTCTTTTTGTTCAACCATAACCAACTCAGAGGCTTATATTAATTAAAAATGCTCAGCTGATAGCTCAGGCTTATTACTACATAACTCTTACATTTAGATTAACCTATTTCTATTAATCTATGCATTGCCATGTGTCTCATGGCTTTACCCATCCTGCCTTGCTTTTTGGGCCACTGGCTGGCTTCTCTCCCGACTCCACCCTCTTTCCCATCATTCTCAGTTTGGCTTTCCCACCTAACTTCCTACCCAGGTACCAGCCTGTCTGCTTTTTATTAACCAATGAGAGCAATACATATTTAGAGTGTAGAAAGGACTCTTCCATGGCAGCATTTGTCCATCAAGCCAGCCACAAGCTCAATCCCAGACCTAACAGGTTTGCAGCAGCTAAGTCACACAAGCCCATGGAAAGACTGAGGCTCTAGGGTCAGACCAATCAGGTTCATACCTTAGCATCACTTGAATGTGAACTTGGGCAGTTCCCAAACTTCTCTGCCTGTCCCCACGCTGTGCACCATGATCAGTGTCTTCTCTTGGGGTCACTGAGAGTGCAGATGATGTAGGATCTTCTACTTCTTTTTGCTTTATCTCAAGGACTGGATCATTGCACCCAAAGGCTATGCTGCCAACTACTGTGATGGAGAGTGCTCCTTCCCACTCAACGCGCACATGAATGCCACCAACCACGCCATTGTACAGACCTTGGTGAGTGCCCTGACCTGGCAATGAGTGGGATCGAACCCAGACCAGGTTATCATTCCTAACAGTGCCCGCTCCCATTTCTATTTTGGAACAGGTTCACCTTATGAATCCCGAGTACGTCCCCAAACCATGCTGTGCACCAACTAAGCTGAATGCCATCTCAGTTCTTTACTTTGACGATAACTCCAATGTCATCTTGAAAAAATACAGGAATATGGTTGTGAGAGCTTGCGGATGCCACTAAGGTGAAGCCAGTTGCTAGTGACTCTGCCTTGGATTCCTAACTAAATCTGCCTTAACACACACGAAGCACAGTGACGTGGGATGGTGGCACTGGAAGCATCTCCCGCTGGTGCCTTGGCCCAAGGGGGATCTTATGAAGACCTTGCTGACGACGTCCCCAGGCCATACCTGAGCAGTTGCTCGTCTGTAGGAAGTTGTAATGCTTTCAGTACAGGCCTGGTAACTGCAGAAACATGCCGGAGCTCACCACCCCCAGTCCCACCCAGACTAGTTTTAGCATTTAGATCTAGCTGTTCGCGGTGTACGTAGAGAATAACCTCGAAGGAATATGAAATACCTGACGGAAAGAGCAGCTGGTTCAGTAGCACTGGGAGATTCTGCAGGTAACAGAATGCAGGGGACGGGGGAGCTCTATCAGATTCCATTCCCAGTAAGGCCAGCTCACCCTTGACTTGCATCCTGGCCACCAACATGCTCTGGGGAGGTGCCTTTTGTCTGCTGTTGCGGTTACATGGTTTTTGTTGTTGACTCTGGTGGTGTGAAAATGTACTAATTTCAGTCGAAACAAACTGAAGCACTTCTGCACCCCCTTCCTCCCTGAAGTCTTTACTAGAACCCAAAGTAGAAGGGCCATACTGTGTGGTAGACCGTGAAGCATCTGCAGCCGCCTTCCTCTAAGCCATGGACCAGCAGAAAGTGACTGCAGCTCTCAGCAGACGGGCTCGACAAGCACATCCACACTGGCTCCGCACACCAGCTCTCCTAACTGCTCTTTGCCTTTTCCCTATGGTAGCACCCATGGCTCAGGGCTAGTCTGCAGCAGAGACCCAGAGGAAGGGTCTAAGAATGGATTTGTCGAGGTGAGCATGGTGTTTGTGAACCAAAACCACAGTTTCCTCTTGTAGAAAGTAAGAATCAGATTAAATCTTAGGATATTTTTTAGATGTCTTTTTCATAATCATGTACCGGGAAGCAATTTCGTACTAAACTGATTAAATAATACATTTATAATCTGTAACTGTACTTACAGCTTTTTTTGTAAATAGAAACTATAATTTATTGTCTATTTTATATCCATTTTGCTGTAACATTTAAGCAAAGACCAGACCTTTTCTTTAAAAAAAATTTATTTAGAAAGTATAAACCAATTGTACCACTTGAGTTTTCTTTTAATACAAGACTCATGATGCAGAGCTGAACCCACTGAGCTGGGCCTCAAGGACAGCTGTGAGCCACACATGATTAACAATAAATGTCTGGAAGGGGCCGGCAGGGGCCTCTGCTGTCAGGACGTAGGTGTGGTCTTGTTTCTAGTCCCCTTACAATACGTTCTGTGCTCCTGGAAGGTGGGTGAAGGGTCTGGGCACAGAGTGCTCCTGAGGACAAGCAACTCACTGTGAAAGACAGAGGCTTGGCGCGAGCTTAGCTGCATCTTTGTGCAGGTGAGAGCGGCAGTGTCTAACACCCAGGACGACAAGAATTAGAAGGAGCTAGGGCGATATCCAACCTTGGGCTAGGGCAGCCCTGCCAGCTGCAGTCTTTGGTCTGGAGGTCAGATGGATCCTTCTGCTCAGACAGTAGAAGGTGGACATCACAGCAAGCTGCTGGAAGGAGTGCTTGGGGAGAGAATCCGCTGTAGCTAGAAGGCCAGGGAGAAGCTGCAAGGTCTCCCCGGGCCTGAGAAAGCCCTTCGGGTACTTTTGCCCAGGAGGCAAATAGAATGGTGGGGACCATTCCCCTCCCACACCCTCACTTTCTGTGGAAGACAGCTACACCTTCCACCTATGCCAAGCAGACAAGAGGATCCTTTGAACCTACATCAGAAGTGCCATTCACGTGGCTCCCGTGACTTACCTCTCTCAATGAGAGAGGTACTGACAGCCAGGAGCCCAACCTTAGCTATGAAGGCATTTCTAAAATTCTGTGGATTTTTGTTTTGTTTTGAAATCTCCAAACAACTGTGACCTTCAGATCAGAGGGACATCAACCGTGCCACAGGCCCCCTTTCCAGAATTCAGGCAGTTCAAAAGCCTCCTTTTGGATGATGCATTTCTGCCACATCCCTCAGCAGCCAACAGGGTTCAGCAATTTGGTTTTCCTTAACTATATTTTCATTGCAAGGAAAGCCAATTTAATTTTGTCAAGAGAAGGTTACAGGATGGATTGCCACTGAAAATATTTGCCCAGGGACCATGAGCTATGATTAGAGAAACACAACCAAGATCCATAGTGTGTGGTGGCTGAAGAAGCACACATGGAGAAGCTACACAGGCTTAGTACACGCAGCTTTCTGATTAACCCCAGTGGGAACGCGGGTGCCCGTCTGCTGTCACTCCTCCGCACGAGGTGATGGAGCCAGGATGCACGATTTCCCAGGGTATCTAGAGTTCATCCTTTGCCTGGCGCAGGACAAAGCTGTGTAAAGAATCAAGGTCTCTACCTCCATTGTGCTCACCCACTTTTTCACCTCCTCGGAAAAGCAGCAATGTGGGATAGCCTCGTACCTTTAAAAGAGATGGGGGAAAAGTACTTTAAATCACACACAAATTGTTCTTTGAAAATTGGGTGGCAGGAGAGATGGCTCAGTCAGTAAAGTGCCACCCCACATATGTAAGTATGAGGACTTGAATTTGGAACTCCAGCACACATATAAAACAGGTTCTGCGGTACCCATCTGTAATTCCGATGTGGGAACTGAGTCCAGGAGTTGAGCCTAGCCAATCAGGTCTAGGTTCAGTGAGATCCTATCTCAAAAATAAGGTGGACAGTGACTAAGAAAGACATCAGACACCAGCTCTTGGGAATTCACACATCTATGAGCACATAGGTAAGGCCGGGGAATTCTGTGACTACTATCAGTAATACAGGATGACTGGGGTATGTATGGGGCTGGTTCCATGCCCATCACCACACAAGAATGAATATAAGTAGCCCATAGCATCCATCATATGCTGAGCACAGAACAAACTCATCAGGTAAATAGACTGGCATTCCAGTCATGGCCTTTTCCGAAGGTGGTTTAGGTTTATAGATTTCTTTCAGCTCCATCCTTCAGGATGTTATAACTGAATGCTGAGCCCTCAGGTGGTTAGGGCAGGGCACCAGGCAGGTGCTGGGCTGGGGGGGGGGGGTCATGATGGCAGCAGCACACTTCTCTCAGCACTTGGCACTTCAGTACTGTGCACTAGACCCAGCAAGGCCCAGAGCTTTCTCAGTGGCAGAGAAGGCTGGCCTTTCAGAGTGTCCTTTATTTCTCAAATGGCACAACAAGATACAAGCCACTCTCTAGAGAGGCCTGGACAGAGTGAACTCATTCCGTGCTGCCAAATGACAGTCCCTGGGGCAGCGATCCAGATCTTCAGTTCTCTCCCCCAGGAATATGTCCCCCAGGGGTACCCACCGAGTACTTGCTGCAGATATTCCGTTCAGCAGTGCAGTCCACTTCCGCGATAGTAACCTCTGCCAAGCCAGGGAATTCCTTTTTAGAGAGCTCCTCCCAGGTAGGGGCCAGATTCTTACAGTGCCCACACCTAGAAGAGAATAGGGGCATCTATGCTGAGATCTGGGTCAAAGTCGGTCTGTTTCTCCTGCATGAGTCACAACAGCCTCAGAATCCACACGATCACATTCTCCCCCTGGGTACACATGACTGGAAGTCATGCCCCTTTGGTAACCTCTGGGCCCACTTCCACAATATGTAGAACAACAGGGTGGACCGTTTAGACAGGACTGCCTTGGTGTAGATTCCTTGATAACTTTAGCCACTTCTAAGAGGCCACAGCACAGTTAGGCCAAATCTTGCCTTTTGTGCTGATAGTCACTCTTTCTGTCCGTCCTCCCAAAGGAGGGTCTTCCTTCTTCACTAGCTGGACAGCCTGAGGGTTTGTCTAAATAAAGAATAATTCTAATGGCATTATGTGGTAGCATTTCTTTTTGGTTGTTTCTTTTCTTTTGTAGCCCAAGATGGCCATGAACTCAGAGTCCTCCAGCCTTTGCCTCCCTCGTGCTAGGATTTCAGGCATGAAGCATCCATATCAAGCTGCCTTTCTATTCAAGGGCAAAAGCTGCCCAAATCATGCATCATATCCTCATTAGCCTTACGCTCCCGAGTGCACGGAGTGGACAAGCAGCTAAGAGTGACATAGTGGCCTAGCATCTAACACTCTTCCTCAGACTCTGGTTCTTCAGCTGACTGTTGTACTTTTGAAGGTAAATTGATGGTGCAATTTTATAGCTAAAAAAAAAGAGGCTCAGGGCATCAAAGGACATGCGTAGTTCCAGCCATTCATGGAAGCTATCATCCTCCAGTGCCGGGCTATCTAGGTCTCAGTTTGTTCTTCATCTACTCTTATTCTGGTCCCTGAGGATCACATGGCAGGAAGGTTCAGGTAACTAGGTCATGTAATGAATGGCTTTAAGAGAAAGCTGAGCTCTCCTGAACTCTTTTTATACATCCATCCCAATTCACTTCCATTTCTGTTTGTGCCTAAGTAGATTGAGCTTTAAAGTAGATTAATGTTTTTCTCTATAAAATAACTGTTGCTAGACAAGGTACAGTGGCATCATTCCCTGCAAGATGGTCTGTGTAAATGACTCTTGCCCACACAGCTGAAAAGTATGCTGTGTGACAGGATGCACTACATAATATCTAAGATGGCCACTTACCATGGAGCATAGAACTTGATGAAGGTTATTCCTTGTGCAATGGTATCTTCAAAGTTCTTTTCGGTGAGTGCCAGCACAGTGCCCTTCAAGGGAGGAAGGTCAATTTAAAGACACTGATAAAAGAGAACAGGGTAGAAAGATGGAATCTGACCAGAGCCATCTACAAGTTATATGCAGGGCAGACACTATCACAGAGCTGCTGGGGACTGTGGGCAGTAGGCTGACGTAGCCCTCCAGGTCTGTTCTGCCTGTAACCAGCCCAGGGGCTTCAAGGACAGGTCCTATCCTCCAGGGCTCTGCAAAGAGGACCAGTGCATTCTAGGCTTGAGCCTATAGCTCCCACGTCTGCAGGAGCTACCTGCTAATGCCATCTTCCTCGTCCTGCTTATCTTCAAGCATTATCTCTTCTAGCCTTCAGCCACCGAGCAGCATGGACGGGACAGCTGGTTACAGTTACACCCATACCACGGGCTATGCATCCTGATATGCACAGTAAGTGTGAGCATGGCACCCGACGCAGGCTGGAGAATGTCACACAGGCATTTTAAAGCATTTCTATCTTACAGTTCTTCAGCAGCCCGGTGAGGGTGCCACTGTGGAGCACTGCACAGCTCTGTGCACTGCTGGAGACTCCCAGGCTGAGTGGGCCACTACCGTCCTTACGTCCACAGTAAGCAGCCATGCTCTCTGAGAGGCCAGATTAGTGATGGAAAACTTGGGTTATAAATAGCCATAGTCTATAAAGAAAGCCCCTGTGGTATGTAATTACCCTGCTAGAGATGACCATGGTGACACACAAGTTCCTCTAACATTTATTTGTATGTGGTCACACTTCTTAAACCAGTAACTTCAGGCTACCCATGACCAGTAAGAACACAGCTAAGGAACGGGCCCCTAAGCTTAAGGGAGGCCTCTTGCTGCCCCACTAGGGGTAGGGCCAACTGACACCACAGATTTTTCCATTTTCCATGGCCTGGGTTTTCAAGTGTTGGCCCCAGTGAGTCTCACCCTCTCTGCCACCACTGGGTAGAAACTCCAGAAACCTGAGTCAGCTCCCTAGGAACTATCCTCACTTGGGTGGGATTCTTAGCCTCCCTCCTTCTACCCCTACTTTGGGGTCTCCTCGTGTTTCAGAGAGCAGAGCCAACAGATCTCCCTACCCCAGCAGCTGCAGGTCATCTTCCTGAAGGTGACTGCTAGGGCTCCACCCTCCAGCTCCTATCCCTCCCCCTCATGGGCACCCCACTGCACTCCTGGAACTAGGTCCTCTCAGTGCCTGGCCCTGCTCTGAACACAGCTGGTTTTCCTGCCGGCAGCTGGCTCACAAGCGCCCCCCTCTGGCAACTGTTGAGTCACAGGTTCTCTAGAACCGCTACCCTGCACAACAGGCTTGTCCCAGCCTGCCACCTACTCACATGTTCTCTCATCCTTTCCTCCAGAGACCCACGCCCTTCACAGACTGGAAAACAGTTGGAAGGGTTTTTGTTGTTTGTTTTCCCTGGCACCCCATGACAGTACCTAGAATGTGTCTGGAGCTTGATAAACGCAGAACTAAAAAGCTAAAATTCTAAAACCCAAGATGCTTTGGGGCTGGAGAAATGGCTCAGTGGTTAAGAGCTGCTCTTGCAGAGGACCCAAGTTTGGTTATCAGCACCCATACTAGGCAGCTCAGAGCAGCCTGTAGTTCCTTCCTGTCTAGGGGTAAGATGCCTCTGGCAGGCACCTGCACACTGACATAAAATTATAAAAATAAATCTTAAAGCCCAGGACCCTTGAATGAGTAAGGACGGAGGCTGCCTAGACACACATGCAATAGTTTGTGATCCACTGACCAGGCCCTGTGCAGCCCGTCCTGCTGATCTCCCAGAGGCCTCTGCTTCAGGGTCTGAGTAGAACTGACAGCAGTCAGTTCTAGAGCGAAGAGAACGGGGCCAGGGCTGCAGAAAGGCTTCACAGAAAACCCTCGCATACACTGTCCCCAAGAAACTAGGGCAAAAAGGCAAACGCTGGAGGCTTTTGACCCCAAGGGCCTTCCCTCGGGATTTTCTCACATATGGCTCAGGTTTTCAAGGGAAGCCTCTGCTGACTTTGGCCATGCACAGCATGTAACAGCAGACAAGAGATCGTTCTGCACCGAGATGACTCTGAAGGCGGCAGGACCGTCTCCCTCCATCCTGACAGACACCCACCTTGTCACCTGTGGGCTCAGCAGCCAGCTCTGGGGCCTCTGAGGGCTCGACAGTCTCTGGGGCCACCTCTGGACCCTGCAGCTGTGACTCCACATAGTCTCTCAGTGATTCCAAGTCCCGCTTTCCCTTGTACTGATCCACCTGTCCAAGACATGGGCCACGGTGATGTTGTCAGCGTTCTTAGTCACAAGCCCGCTCACCCCATTGGTCCAGTTAGGCACCATCAGGGCTCTCAGCTCCAGCTGTGTCTCTTGTGGATCTGCCTGCTCCCATTCAGGTGGGAGGTAAGATTCCACAGCACACACCTCCTACCCCTGCACCTACACATGGGCTATACATCCTCAGAGTCTAAAGTACAGGCTAGCCATCCACCCATCCCATTTCCTTGGGAATTCTGAGACGCTGACCACGGGCAACGCATGGAAGGGGCAGAAGACAGAATCCCACCCCACTGAGAGCTAGCAGTAACACTGTTTCAAAGCCTGGAAGGTCTGTGTTCATTCCAGAGCACAGGCGGTGTCTAAGCCAATGAAAACCCGAGCTACCAAAAATCCCTCAGAACAGTTTGACAAATGTCACTTTTCCTAATCACTAGGTCTTATCAGTTAGGGAAGCACACACATCACACTCCACTAAACACATTCCTCCAGCAGTTGACAGCGGCCATTTCCTAACCCTGTAAACTCAGCACCTCAGCCGCAATGGCGAGTGGAAGTTATCCCCTCCACACAGGAGGTGAAGACGTACCTTCTTGCCATCTCGGAACCACAGCAAAGTGGGATAGCCTCGAACCTGGTTTTCTGAGCAGAGCCCATAATGCTGCGTGCAGTCGACCTGTGTACAAAGAACACAGCACCCAGTTACATTATCAGACAATTTATACTTTACTAAAAAAACAACAAACAACAGCAAAACGGGCTTAATTCAGATTCCACAGCATCTGTGGCAGTGTGCTGCAAGGTTTAGAAAGACTTTGCCTAGAAGCCATCCACACCACCACCCACACTAATGGCACACGGTGCCATTTGAATTCCACTAAAAAGGGCATGTTTAGGAAGCCTCGCCTGACACCAGGTAGCTGTGAGGGAGACGCTCGCCAGGGCAGTTCCCAATGCCATGGAAGCCTACTGTCACTTGTAGCTCTACAGTTTCAGATCAAGACAGGGGACACAGTTCAGTGACATGCATGGGTCCCTGTGCATGTACCCCCGGAAGTGGGAGCAAGCAGTTCATATTTAATAAGAACATCAGGTAAGTGTAGCGCTATAACTTGTCCCAGTAAGAATTACAGGAGCCATTTATTTTGGTGGAAACTGAACCCAGGTCCCTGTGTATATGAGGCGAGCACTCTACTGCTGAGCTACATCCCCTGCCCTGGCTAAAATATTTTTATTTTAAGATAGAGTCAGTAAGTTGCCACAGCTGGCTTTGAATTTGTGGCCCTCCTGCCTCAGACTCCAGAATAGCTGGGGTTAGAGACCTGTCCCATCAGGCCTGGACCAGATTACAACATGTAAATCAAGATTCTGCTTGCCTGATATTTTTAACAAACATTTAAAAAATTTGTATCAGCACTAAAATTAGCCAAGCAGAACTAAGCCGTTTTTTAGTATGTCAATAAAGGGTTTAAACTATGTTAAGCTGTAAGGCGGCTGTGAGAGCCATTGAGGTGTTAAAATGAAGTCCAGGAAACTTTAAGCTAGGTCTGTGAGGGGCACAAGCACTCTCCAGGGTCCTGTCTAAAGTAGCTCCAAGTGCCCAGAAATGACGGCCCCTCACAGCCTGAGTCTGCTTGCGCATGCTTCTGCTACTGCTTGGGTAAATCACCTCCCATAAAAACTCGCAAAATAATCTGAAGTAAGGATACAAAGGCTGACAAGACAGAATGCAAGGTGATGCACTTAGGTCCACACTCTTCAGTGATGGAAATAATCACAGTACACAACTGGACAATGAACGCATGGCAGGCACAGGAGAAAATCCACACACTGTACACTGAGAATTACAATTTCCTCAGCATCGCCCCACACCAGGGGCCATGCTAAGTAGCAAATTCTCATCTTCATGACTACACACAATTCACCTTGTTTCCCTTCTGCAAAGTGGCAACTGAGGGGAGACATTACAACCATGGCCAGCCTACCAGGTCTACCCAACCAACCCCAAGGTTCTGCTTCTGACTCTCATAGCCAGATACGTAGGTCTGTTTCTGTATGCAAATTAGCCCTGTAGCAGAGTGGAAAGGGGAGATTTTTTTCTAGAGGCATTCCATAAAGAGTGAGGGTCTGGTGAGTGTCAGAAAAATCAATGAGTTTGAAAGCATGCAATAGTCCAGGAGCTGCTCTGGATAGTTCCAGAAGACCTGGACACACAGGAGTTGTTACACACTACTTCTGGCTTCTCTGTATGAACTGTGGATGGCAGTGCAAAGCAGGGCTCGCCATGAGAAGCTGTGCTATGAGCCTGTGCGAGCGCAGAACCCAGGACCCTTTAGGAGAGCCCTTGGCTGAGCTCCACGGACATCCAGTGCACATTCTACAAGGCTCTGCCCCGTATCTTTGCATAGCTCCAGGGCTGCCAACTCGGAATTGGCCATCCCTTCAGAATAAATCGGCCAAGGCCATAATTTATCTCTAGGCTGTGGAAAAGCCAGCAGACTCCAAAACCAGGCTGCCATCTGTGAGGGTGAAATGAATTGTCAAGTGGCAACACTAACTGCAATTAATAAATCAAGTTTTCAGCTTTGCACATGGAATGAATAATGGGCCACTCTGCTAATTAATCCAGCCCAAAGCAGACTGTTTCCAGTTTAACAAGGGTGTGCGCTTACCTTGCCAATCTTGACAGTTTCGGAATGTTCAAGGCCCAGGGCCAGCTGCTCCCAGGTTGGAGCCAGAGCTTTGCAGTGACCACACCACGGAGCGAAGAACTTGATAAAGTGGTCGCCTGAAGGGAAGGCCAAAGCAGAGAGGAAGGGGTTTGCATCACAAGAGACCAGATGCTGAACTGAAGAATACAGCTCTGTTCCCCTTGCCCACAGATCTCAAGTCCTTCTGGTAAGAAGGGACTCACCACCATGTATGTTTATATCTGAGTTCAAAACAGTAACTCCCAATCAAATCTGTCGTCTCTGAAGGGTTACAGAGAACCAACTTACACTGCGACAACTGGCAAAAAGAGAAAGAACTGTACATTTTCCCTGCCTCTTTTCCCACCCCAACTACAAGTGAGGAGGCCAGCACCAAGACATCTGAGGGGGGAGGGACCAGACAGTGGTCGTCGGTGCGGCTCTAATCACAGAAACAGACACCATAGTTACAGACAGCCATATAACCTTCCGGCATCCCAAAAGTATATACGGAGAAAACAAACCAAGGAAGCGTGTGAATCCACAGCAGAGTCCAGACTGGGAGTTCTGTAGGCCCGCGAACCATGTGCTCAGTAAACACAGAAAGAAATGCTGGAGAGCATATAGATCAGGAGAGCCTTACAGACACTCTCAGCCATCAATGAGGCTAAATAAAAGAAAGCCAGGAAGAAGGAAAAAAGAAAGAAAACTCTTAAGATCCATAAAATCTAAACTAGGGGTGGGGGGAGAAAACCATTAAGCTGAGCCATAACAAGTCAGATGACTAAGTCTGGTGTTTAGTAGCACACACCTAAACTATGAGGCCACAGGGAAAGGGCATGGGCCCACACAGGTGCCACAGGAGCGGATGGCAGAAAGGCCTGGAGGTAGGTGGTGCACAATGGGCTGTGGTTTCTTGATCTGAACAGCAGTCATGGAAGACTGTCTTAAAATTCACTAAATCCTACTTTTGCTTTTTGTGCTTACATTATATTTTGCCAAAAACCAGGTTTAAAAAAAAAAAAAAAAACCTCCCAACTAGTTAAAACAAAACAAAACAAAACAAAACAAAAAACCACAAAACCACGTCCTCACAACATTATTTTCTGGACACGGGATTTTTAATCTGTCTGTTGTACTGTACACAGGCTGACAGCACCCCCAAATCAGGAGAGAGCCCCTAGTGGACATGAGGCAGTGTGATGGTGGCTGAGGTCTTCTTGCTATGACAATAATGTATTTCAGGAAACGCTGAGTCACTTATTTGAAATTATGAGTGACTTATTTTCAAGGCTAATCTTTGCAGACAAGTGGAGTACGAACCCTGGGCAGCAGGATGGAGATTGAATCCCCAGAAGCCAAGCAGCTCTGATGGGAAGCCAGCACGGACAGGAAGCCATAGCTGCCTTTTGAGCCTCAGTGAGCCCTGGAACAATAATACCATGTGGGGTCTGCAGGGTGTGTCCTGCAGGAGACACTTGCTCTGGGCGGGGCAAGGATTGTGGGAGACTATGGGAGACAGTCTATGACAAGGTGATTTAGATGCACATTTCAACAGAACCCAAGTTAGTGTGACTTCCCAGTAGGGGAAACTCCCAAGGTCCCATGGCTGGAGAGCTAGTACAGGTTACAGACCTCCTTCTAGTGGTAAGAAAAGCCACCATGAAAACTATTTTAGTATTACAGGTGGTCAGACTCCCAGCAGGCAGGCTTCAAGGGCAAGTACAGTCCTATGTTCTTTTCCACAGTGTGTACAAGCCAGTCTTCCAGGGGGGATTTCTCTCCATGGCAGCACTTGATAATGGAGCCAGCAAGGAAGCTGTGTTTGTTTTCTAGCCACATGTGCTTGGGCCAACTTCTGAAACGTGCCCATGCATTAACAAAGGGAGGCTTGTGTTTTATTCACAGTGGAGATTGTAGGAAGACATTTAGGATACTGATTCCAAAAAGGGAATATAAAGAACACCTAATTTGATTCATAGTTGAATAGTCCTATTTACATTGTTTAAACAAAAAATATGCCTGTTTCAGCCTCCAGCCAGTAAACATATGACCACCATAACGAGGGCTTTCTTATCCCCGGGTGTTGTACGCACCCTGTGTGCTCGCTCACAGCTTCAGTGTTGTGTGCCCCCCCCCACCAGTGTGCTCACAGCTTCAGGGTGTCGTGTGCACCCTGTGTGCTCACAGTTTCTAGTATGCTCACAGCTTCAGGGTGTCGTGTGCACCCGGTGAGCTCACAGCTTCAGGGTGTTGTGCGCACCCGGTGAGCTCACACCATTGGCAGGCAGGCCCACAAGGATGAAGGAGGAGGGGGATGCTATTTAAGAGCAGGCTTATTAAGCAACAGTTCAACTGGTGCTGAAGAGACAACAGGAGTTGTGACTTGATGTTGCTATGAGCCTTCAAATGGCAAGAGGAAATGCCAGCACAGAGCCCGTGGTCACCAGTTCCATCCTTACCTTGAGAAACATGCAGCTCAAAGTTGTTGGCCGAGAGTTCATACAACCCCTGCTTCAGTTCAGGGGCTTTGGGTGGTTCCGCTTCAGGCTCTGGTGTCTAACAAGAAGAAGCAAAGCAATTATCTGTGTGTTTGTCCTTGAGAATGCAGTTGACACGGGAGGTGACCTGTCTCTGTCCAGAACAGTCCTCACCTATCTATCTCACAGCTGTGCTGAACAAGGCCAGAGAGACAGGAAATCACCTCCACCAAGTGTATTAGCACCAAGCCCACCCTATAGGACTGAGGCTCCAGGGCAGCAGCCGTCATCCGAAACTCAACCAAATGAAGAAACAAGGTCAAGTCTGCACAACCCCAAGCCACACCCTCTCCTTGGACCTGGTCTGAGATTCCCCATAGAATTCAAGGGAAATTTCTAGTGAGCTGCTCTGAACAGGTAGGGGCTAATGACACAAAGGTGGATAAACAGGCAAAGTTAGAGGCAAAATCACAAGGGGTGACCTTCAGTTTGCACCGGGGGCAGGAAGAACAAGGAAGAGATGCTACCAAAGAGTGACAAAAAGTCAGTGATAGGAACCAAGAACCTGACAAGTCATAGCAAGGAGAGACATGGAAGGGATGGCCTTGTGAGCTAAACCTTAAGAAAGCAATTCACGTGACAAGGTTTGGGACAGAAATGCAAAAGACAGCAGGTAAGTGACATCCCAAGAGCCCCTGCTTGAAACGATGAATAGAACCAAGCCCCATATCTGCTACTTTTCCTGAGCATGCATGCCTGTGACAGTTTAATTTGTAAATGAAGCAAATGGGTGATTTAATAATAATGATAAAATAGAAATCACAACAATAAAAGTAAAAATGATTTAAAACTTGTGAATTGGAGAGAGCCCCGAGCAACTCCGGCCTCATTCCCATCACACCGGGGGGAGCCTCAGCTGGTCCAAGTCATTTCATCATCATAACCATGACCATGAGGCTGAGATCCAGAAGCCACAGCCCATGCCCAGAGCCACTGACACCAAGCCAGGCACCACAAGCAACAGAGGCCCAGACGACCTCACCACACAGCATATGCCAGTGGAGACCAGAAGCCATCCCAATGAAGGTTTGGAGAACAGTAAAATGGTTCAATGTAAGAAACAGATAGCATACTACCTATGCTACCTATATAACAGGAACATATAGCAGACTACCATAAAGAAGGAGCTGAGGAGTTCCTTCACAGTGTGGGAGACAGAGAGAGACTGTAGTTTGATGTTGCTGAAGCAGAAAGGAGACTGGGGGCAGCAAATGTTACAGGCCTTGATTGAGTTGCAATGCAAGGCATTAAAGACGCAGCAGACCATAACCTTCATGGACACTATCTGTCTTGTAGTGGTGATGATAATTCCCAGAATAGTGAGAATGGGGAGAGGAGGTCTGGGAGACCACAACACTAGCCCTGTCGCATGCGAAGGTTCCCACCTTAGTGCATGTGGGGAGTACACTGAACACACAGTAGTGACGGGGGACACTAACAATCAGGGTTCCGCAGAAGAAAATACATCAGAGACACAGAATACACATGGGTTACAGACTACAATTCCACAGGGCCCTCTGCACCGAAGGCAGCCTAGAGAAGATGGCAGTGAAGAGGAGAAGGGGCATTATGGAGATGAGATCAAAGTCAGCAGCCACCCCACTGTAACAGCCACTGCAAATTTACTTACTAATGCAGATGCCCAGAGAACCCAACACAGCAAGATGCCAGAGACGAAAGCAGCTGTTCTGCCAGTAGAGAATTTATCTGCTCCAGAGGCTGGCAGGGCAGGGCTAAGTAGATGGCTTACCATCTCCACCAGCATCCAGTCAGTCACCCAACAAGAATAAATGACTATACAACTCTAGTAATAAGAAACAAGGACCAGAGTTTGGTTCCCAGCACCCACCTGGCAGCTCACAGCCACCTATAACGCCAGCTCCGGGGGCTCCAACAGTCTCTTCTGACTTCCAAGACAACTGCACTCATTTGCACACACCTCCACACACACACACACACATACGCACCTCCACACACACACACGCATATGCACCTCCACACACACACACACACACGCATATGCATAGTAAAAATATTTTCTAAGAAAAATTGAGCAGGGCTGAAGACCCAATGCTTGCTCTCTGCCCCTCGACCACACACACTAAACCTCTCTGAGCTGCCTGTGCAGCACAAGCATTTTAATATATTAACCTTCAGGTAATGATAAACGTTTTTAGAAAGGCTACTTTTTCTCAACACATCTTTAAATGTTTTTAAATTGCTTCATATCTCGTCAAGTTGAAGTTTTCAAGAATGCGATTTTTAATTTAAATAAAAGTGTATGTCCTAGGTTGCTTTCTATTGCTATAATAAACACCATGACCCAAAACTAACTTGGGGAGGAAAAGATTTGGTTTAAAATTCCACATAATAGTGGATCACTGAGAGAAGTCAGGGTAGGAGCAGAGGCCATGGTTGGTTGCTGTTTACTGGCTGTTTCCTAATTTTCTGAGAAAGCGCCATATTGATATACAAAGGGGCACATGTGCTCAACTATGTTCATAGCATTGTTTGTCATGACCAGAACCTGGAAACAACCTCAATGCCCCTCGACCCAAGAATGGATAAGGAAACGTGGTATATTTACACACTGGAGTACTACACAGCAGGAAAACATAATGACAGCTTGAAATTTGCAGGCAAATGGATGGATCTAGAAAACATCATATTGAGTGAGGTAACCCAGACACAGAAAGGCAATTAGCACATGTACTTACTCATAAGGGGTTTTAAACATAAAATAACAAACAAACAAACAGAAAAACAAGCCTACAATTCACAATCCCAGAAAACCTAGACAACAATTAGGACCCTAAGAAAGACAAACAATGATCTAATGTACATGGGAAATAGAAAAAGACAAGATCTCCTAGGTAAATTGGGAGCATGGGTGGGGGGACCATGGAAGAGAGCAGAAGGGGAGGGGAGAAAAAAGGAGGGGAGCAGAGAAAAATGTATAGCTCAAAAAATCAATAAAAAAAAAAAGCAAAAAAAATACACGTAGTGTTGGATTTCACATTGCCAGGAGTGTAAGCCACTCAAGAATCTTGTCGACTGAATAAATGTGGTAGTTCAAGTGTTAAAAAAAAAAAATTCTTGCTTAATTCATACCCAGTCCTCTGAAAAAAGAACTTTCATAGAGAAAACAATACAGTTTCAATCTACATGAAAACCCCACCTGCCCCTGCAGCTTTTCAGCATGACAAACATGCAAATTCACCCACAGAAGCCACAGTTTGTGGCTTCTGGTTACCTAAAATGAGGCCAGCTCCTCGATATTACGGACACAGAAATGGTGGTTTCAAATGTGAGGTATGGAAACACTAAAGGAGTTTCTGATGAGCTGGGACATCCAGAGTGAAGAACACAGCTGCAGGGTCACACACCCTTGAAAGTGGCACTAATGAGAGGTGGCGCTCAACCCAGTGCTGGGACCACAGGCAGCCACAGTCCGTGCACAGCTCCGAGACAATAAAGCGCCCTAAGTGACCTGTTCCCACTGCAGTTGTACTCAGAACTCCTGTTGCTCTGACAGTCGTCGGAAACAGGAAACAAGGCAACGCTGGCTACTTTTCCAGTCCCACCAACACTGCATCACAAGCCATCAAGTCCACCTACCCTCATCTACCCATCCACATGCAGGACCCTTAAAGGAACTGTGCAGCATCATTATGATTTAGAGCAAAATGGAAGTTTCCGTATCAGCCTTAGTAAGTAACACTTACAGTGTTCTGATGGTGTCTACACACAGAGAGAAGAAGGAAAACACTTGAGCATTTACTAAGGGTTTTACATTATTAGTAAAGCCAGTTCAGGCCTGGAAAGCTGAGGATCAAGGAGCCAAGGAAAAGAGCCACACTATGGGCAGGCAGTGGGAGCAAGGCCAAGTGAGCTCCGGGAGCTGGAGACAGGAGCAAGCACTGGAGATTCAACAGGGCCTGGTCTTGCCTGTCTCTAGGTGGGCAAAGGCAGCCCCTGGTACAAATGCATGGGTGCGCATTGCACTCATGTGGAAGTGACACAGTGGCTATGTTACACAGCAAAAGTGTGTGTCTGTGCCCTGAATATTTACCAGTGACACCCCTGGATGGGTGCAGGAGGGATCAGAAGGAAGGCAGACCAGGCTGGCAAAACTGGGAAAATGGCACTTTCGTACATGTTTGAATACCTTCCTATGAAGGAACTGTGTTCAGGTTATTTATCAGTCAGCTCTGAGACAGGTGCTTAGCTGAATAGGAACCTGGAGATGGCGAGAGGCTCCTCTCCAGCATGGCAGTCCTGCCTTGCCCTAAATGGCACAAAGAAAACTGAAAAGTAAACCCATAAATCTGAGGCGACACCACCATTTGCCAAGGACGGCCACCATGCGGAGGGCTGCTATACACTAAAGATATTTGTAGCTTAAATGAAATAATTCCGGAAAGCATGAAAGTGGATAAATGTTATGGATGGCCTCCATGACAAAGTCATCTGCAACAGCCTCCAAGGACTGGGAGCTGGCTTGCCCGAGCCGCCATCTAAACAGCTCAGCATGAAGTAAAACACCTATTAAAGCTTACTAAACATCTAACACTCATATAAAAAAATTCATAGAACTCCAAAACAATTATGGCAAACTACTTAAAGGAAAAAGTAGACAAATGAAAGATAAAGTTATTGAACTACAAAAGGAGCAACCAGAAACAAGAGCAGAGATGTTCAGTATGGTGGTAAACAGCTATAATCCCGGTTCTGGGGAGGCGGGGAAGTGGGGGGGGGGACCCTGAGTTCAAGGTCAGCCTGGGCTACACACTGAGAAACAGTGAAGTAAACAAGAGTCAGTCACCTGAGACTTCAGATAAGAAACTAAAGACTGTTAGGAAGAACCCGTATCTGGTTCTTGCCCAAGGAACCAAGACTAGTTCAAGGGATCAGTATGGTGAACTGCCTGTTCCCAACAGTGGGTCAGAAATCTACAGCTGTCCTGACAACAGGACAACAACCCCACAGTCCAGTGAACAGGCTGTGGAAATTCCACCATTTAAGAACAACGATTCCCATTTACTCAGTGTTTTGTACTTAAGGAGAACATGCTTGGGTGCTATGCTATGTTTCTTGAGCTCCTCTGAGCAAATTTAAACTCATTCAGTCAACCAGAAGCAGCACAGGGAAAGATCTATTTACAACTTCAAAAAGAATTGTAAGCTTTCACCTTGCCTGGCCTCTGGACTGTAAAGGGAGGGAGGAGGGGACACTTACAGGCGGCTCCTCATTCAGCGTCTGCAGCATCCAGTTTTCCAGTGTTTCAAAGTCTCTAGGACCCTGGTACTTCACCGCTTCTTGGCCAGGCTTAAAAAACTTCAGGCTGAAAGAACAACAACAGATTAGGGAGAGCAGAAGTATACAAGTTCAGAGCTGCTCTGGGTTAAGAGCAACCCATGCAGTGAAACAGCAATGGATCTGCCAGGGGCAGGAGCCAGATACCTATCTGCCACTCAGATAGGACTTCAAAGGGAATCAAAACTGATGTTACAGGGGTTGTCCCAAGTTCCTAAACTTTCACACATCCGATGTTCTTCAAGGGAAATACAACTGGGGTGAAAACTTGCAGATGTATGCTGTGAGTTAAACCTGCTCTCAGTACTTCCACCAGGCTTCACCTTGGTGGTACCCCGCATCCTTCCTGGCCTCCTTGTTGCTCCTGCTGCCTGCGGGCCTCACTTAGGCTTGCAGCAGACAAAACAGTTTTGCAGAGCACTGTGGCAGATGGAATCCCAGTCCCTGATGGATCCCAACTATCAGGGCCCTCTACCTGCTGCAGTCTATCTGCTCACACTCCCCCCATTCACTCCAGCCCCCAGAGCTCCACTTGCATCCCCTGCATCCCTGTGGAACAGTTCCTCTGATGATGAGTATAAGACATCACCAGAGGATAAATGTCACACATGTTGGTCTTGGATCACTCCAGTCATAACAGGCCTTAGAAAAAGCCTCACAGTTTTTACAGTTGTCAAGACTGTATTAAACTTGTGGCTCCTGTCAGAAGAAGGATGTAGTATGAGGGCTGGCTTGTTGGGGTTTCTGTCCCTCCCAGTACCCCAACAGCCAGCAAGCAACAAAGAAAATCACACACAAGACTCCATAAGGTTATAAACTGATTGGTCCATTAGGTCAGGCTTCTTGTTAGTTCTTATAACTTATATTAACCCATTATTCTCATCTATGTTAGCCATAATGGCTCCGTACCTTTCTCTGCTGGGCAAGTTACATGATGCCTCTTCGGTGGTCTGTACAGGAGTGGCTGAGAGAGAGCTTCTGCTTCCAGAATACTCCCAGTCTCTTTGCTCCACCCCTACTTCCTGTCTGGCTTTCCCGCCTATACTGCCTGCCTGGCCAATCAGCGTTTTATTAAAATATAATTGACAGAATACAGATAATTCTCCCGCACCAGAAGGAGAAATGCAAGTAAGGGCTAGGAGCCCTCTAACACCTCCCGGAAATAATCTGGGTTTTGTGAGGTGATACACAATGTTCAGAAACGGATTTTTAAGATGGGATGTGTACAACTCAGGTATGTAGGTGGAGTGTCACATGCAGCGTGGGCTTCAGTGACACACCAAGACTGGCCTGGCGGCCCATAAAGCACAGAAATTCATTTCCTATAGTTCTGGAGACTAAAGTCCAAATTCATAGAGTAATACATTTAATGTCTACAGTGGCTTTCTGGTTCCCTAATGGCACCTTCTCCTTGTGTCCTCATGTGGCAGGAAAGCCAAGAGAGCTCTCTGGAGCCCCCTTAATAGCAGCTACCTTCAATACCAACACAGTGGGGTTAGAATGTCAGCATGTTTTCCCAGACAACAAACACCCAGCCCATTAACAGACAGGTAAGTTCCCTTTAAATGAAGGCTTTAAAACAGAAGCCTGAAAATGAAATCCCATGGCTACACAAGGAAACCAAACTACATGGTGGAGTTTGCCAAAGGGTGAGACAGGAGGATAGCAAATCTGAGGCAAGCCTAGGATACACAGTAAAGCCCTGTCTAGAGAAGAACTGAGGAGTGCTCGCTTAGCACACACAAGACCCGAAGTTTCCTCTCCACATCACGAAATGAAGGGAAAACAGTCCACTGGCTATATCTGGCAGTTAGAAGGACAGAATGGCCTTATGAAGAACATATGAGCGTCCTCAGGCTCCCAGAGACAATTCTCCTAAACTTACAGGAGGTTTACATCCTCACAAGTACATCCTAAGTTAGAACAACAGTAAGTTGAATCACTTAAAAAACATCCCACCCAGCCTAACAAGGGCTCAGGCACACACAGGAGCCTCAGGTGAGTAAAGTCACCTGACACCAGAACAATGTTTAATGTCTCCTGTAATTCACTGTGCGGAAAGCGGTGAGTGGAATGGCTGTATGGGGCTGCTTCTGCCCCACCATGAAGGTGAAGGATCACAAGCTATCTTATGTCTGGGACCATCTACACAAGAAAAAGCTGAGGTCTGATAAGGAGATTTAGGCACTACACTGTACCTCCAGTAAAGAACATATGAAAGCTAGGCATAGAAGCACACACTCAACATCCCAGTACTCTGGGGCCCTATGCACAAGGCCTAGAAACTGAGCTCCGGGTCATCCTGGAAACATAGTGAAAACCTATCTGAAACAACAGTCAGCAACAAAACCAAAGTCTAAGCCGGCTAAAGTACACTGTCATAATCAGAAAGGAAGCAAAAGCACACGCAGGTATAACCCCCTGCCTCAATGCAACCACCCTACGTAGCACTCTGCCTCCTGCGTCCTGTAAAAACCAAAACCAAACAAAAGTTTGTCCTTGGGTACTTCTGCAGGCCCCTAATCAACATGGGAATCCCTCTCAGACCACATTCACTACAGTCTGACTGTAGTAATTATTTCCAATTTCTTTAAACACACACACATCTGACTTACTCAGGGAGACTTGATTTTCTAAATAAGTCAGGATACAAAATGCAAGATGTTTTTAAATTTGTCAGTGGCATCCATGGAGTCCTGATGTTGCTGTTAAGCTTCTGCAGTGGTTGGTTTTGCCAACATGACACAATCTACAATCATTAGGGAAGGGAGCCTTGGTGAGGGACTGTCAGAGTTTAAGTAGTGGGCATGTCTGGGGGGAGGGGGTTGTCTTGATTACATTGATGTGGTAAAACATGCTCACTATGGGTGGCCTCATTCCCTAAGCCAGGGATCTTGAACTACTGAGTAACTGGCTGATCACGATCAAACATGCGTTCATTCTTCTTCTCCTCACTGTGGATGTGTCGAGATTTCCCCTCTACTCAACTGTGGAAGTCACTAGCTGCTTCAACTTCTTTCCACCTTGATTTCCCCACAAAGATAGTCTGTAACCTGGCATTCAGAGCTATAATAAACATTCTCCTCTTGTCTGCTTTAGTCGGCGTATTCTATCACAGCAACAGGGAACGAAGTTAAGACAGCTTCCCCGTCAGTAACACCCATCCTTCTCGTCCATTGTGACTCCAGTTTCAGCCTCCCCATGGCATGTTTTGTATGGCAGGCAGTATAGAGAGGAAGGGGGCACAGTCAACCCATTTCTATCGTCCCAGCACCCTAGAAGTACTAGACTCTCACCAGGTGAGTATTTATTTCCCCTGCTACTTATCAATGGCTTCTCCAGAATGTTTAAGGAAACCAAACAGAGTTCATTCATTTATTCACTTGTTCATTAATTCAGATCAGTGATGGAGTCTATGGCCTTGAGCTTTACCAACTGAGCTACATACCCAGTCCCATAGTTCACTTTAAATCTGTGCACTACACAGCCGAGAGTGAATGCTGTTTACAAGGTACACACACCAGGATCTTTTTCTCTCTAAGATCTGACTTGATACAGGTCTGAATGTGGTGCTTATCAGTAAGCAATCGCTAACACCCAGAATGTCCGGAAAGCCTTTATGGAAAGGCTAAATCTCAAATGTAGAACTCCACTGAAGCCCTGTGCTAATAGAAAAGCAAGGCGGAGGGGCACTGTTGTCACCCTTCGACTCAGGGGTCAAGTGATGCAGCCAGTGCTGCACAGCTATGGATGGCAGACCTAGGATTCCACTGTGGCCTCCACATTCCCTTGCTGCCTCTAACGATCAGAGACTTCAGACTTTATATTTAACTCCAGATCCTATGGATTGGTCAATTAAGTTATGTATAATATAGACTTGACTTGGTACCCCAACTGTAATGGAGTTAAGAGTTGAAGTTATTAAGAGTTCCCCTGCAGGTGGAAGGGCATAACCCCTTGGTAAACTACTCTCCCATCCCTCCACAGGCCACAGGGCCTGAAAGGGGAGACTGCTATCTATGAGATCTGCACCACAGTGGCTGCCTCTGAAAGACTCCACCAGACACGGTGTCTGGCCATGAGTCCATGTCCTCCCTCAGGAGGAGAGAGAGACAGGGATGAAAAGTTCAGTCACCCAAAAGCAGGTGCCGTAGAAACAATTCCACGACCTCTTGGCTGGAATCCCTAAGGCTCACCCACAGTGTGCCTTAATTTGATTGTCCCCATCCAAATCCATGAAAATTAGTTCCCATTGTGAGATTCCAAGAAGTGGGACAAGGTAGGACCTTTATGAAGCAATTCGGATTAGATAAGAGCATATTTCCAAGGCCATGACTCCATTAGTGATTTTATATGAAGAGACCCATATAAGCGAGCTTTCTTTCACACTATATGATGCCTTGTGCCACCTTGGGACTCTGCTGAGCAAGAAGGCCTTCATCACATGGAGCCTATCAATCTTGACCTCCAGACCCAGAGACTCAACACAGCCTTACTCCTGTGTAATTATCTAGTCTGCAACACAATTATAGCAACAAAAAAGGAATAGGATGTCCTCTTTCCTTTAAGAAGTCAGTTTGTCGGCCAACTTTCTGTTGCTTTCTAACAAGGAGCTGGGATCATCAACTTAGAGAGAGAAATAGTGTATTTTGACTCCCTGGTTTAGATGACTGGGGCCATGAGGTAACTTGAATTCGCTGCCTTTGGTCTGCACCCAGATAGACCCTAACAGACCCTCTTCTCACAACAGACATGTGTAGTGAGGAGCTGCGGGCAGGCCTGCTTTTCATCTTGCCCAGCTCCTGCATGGCTAGCTTAGCCCCGGAAATAACAACACACAAATTGTATTCATTTAAACACTGCCTGACCCATTATCTCTAGAGACTTAGTTACTGGCTAACTCTCACATCTTGATTAACCCATTTCTAATAATCTGTGTAGCACACCGGGAAAGATTCAGCATGTCTGACCTGGTGGCTAGCTCCATGGCATCTGCCTCACTTCCCTTCTTCCCAGCATTCTGTTCTGTTTACTCCGCCTACCTAATTTTCTGTCCTACCAAAGGGCCAAGGCAGTCTCTTTATTAACCAATGAAAATAACGCATAACAGAAAGCCCACTTACATCAGACATGAAACAAGCAAGCAAAAAAGAAAACACAAAGAGGGCTGAGATCACAATATCCCCTTCAAGGACACAATTTTGGTGAACCACCAGCCCCCCACGTCCTAAAGGTTCTAGACGCTCCCCACAGCACCACAGTCTGCTGGCCAGCCTAACACACGGGTTTCGGGGGGGATATTCATCCAGGGTGTAGCAGTCAGTCATCATTTGTTTACCCCATCATGTACACACCCATCAAGGGAGCAAGTGGCTGCCGAGAACCTTATTGCGCTCTGGCTTGTTTCCCCCCACCCCAACAGAAAGAGACCGAAAGCTAGTTGCAGAGGATGTAAAGACCTTAAATCAGTAAGAAAAAGAAGAACTGCAGTGGTGGTAAGAGTTCAAATCGAAAATGACGAAGTCTGAACGGGTTGTGCAAAACTAAGTGGAACATCACCCAGGGCTGGATCTCAGGCAGCTGGATCCCACCACTGCCCTGCGAATGCTCACTGTCTCAGAAACGGGAAAAACCAACAAAGATTAAGGCTTTCCCCATGCAAAATGCAAAAGGCATCTACCATAAACAGTGCTCAATATAATCTTGTCCTAATAGCAGGGACTACCTGCTCACACTCAGCAGGGCGGATCTATGAAGGAAGTTAGCACAAGCTCAGTTTGGGCATTCCTTGGTCACAGACAACAGACACACACATGTGGAAACCCCAGCACAGAGATAGACGCATCCTGTCTCTTCCTGCTTACGTGGGGTATCCTCGCACACCCTGGGCAGAGCACACGTCAGAGCTGGCTGTGCAGTCCACTTTAGCCACGTAGACCTTGGCATCCTCCATGCTGTTGTACTTGTCTCCCAGGTCATTCCAAGTTGGCTGCAGTCGCTGGCAGTGTCCACACCTACAGTGAGGTCAGAGGAAGAGCACATTGAGCGCCAGGTCCCAGGGCATCCAGGTTACCACCTCAGCCTTCTCCACATCAACTCCCCACCCTTGCTTTTCTCCAGATGCTGCCGATGGATAGCTCACAATGACCACATTCTCCATATTCATCAAAATTTTGCAGATTCCTGTCCTAACATTCTTTTTTGACCTCCATGTTCTGATAGTATCTCCTTGACTTCCAGCCAGCCTACAGGTACAATTACAGTATTGCAGTTTCCTGAAACTTATAAACTTGCTGTGCCCCCTGGAACTCAAGGCAGACATGGACCCTACCAAGAATTTCCCTAAACTCCACCTGGATGATTTCTGTTTGCCTTCAGATCTAGCTTGTGTATCATTTCTTCCAAGAAGTCTTCTTGTCTCTCAGGCTACTTTGTATCCTCTCTCTTTTCCTTGTTTCTGGAAGTCTCCCCTGCTCTCCCAAGCAGCTTATCGCCCTTCTGTAAACTGCTCTGTTATTTACAAAGACAGCTCTCTTCTACTACATAACCAAATGTACACAAATGCAAGGAGATCTCAAGATTAATCAGCTCCGCACCTTCTCCAGCTAGAAGTCTTAAAATAAATATAGTTAATTTTTTTATATTTATCTAGACAGGTCTTGGGTAACCAAGGCTGCCTTTGAGCGTTCTATGTAGCTGAGGATAACTCTGAACTTCTGCCTTTCTCACCATCACCTTCCAAGCATTGGGACTGGAAGTGTGCACAGCCACCCTCAGCCTAATGTGGTGCTGGAGATCAAACGAGGGCTTTGTGCATGCTAGGCAAGCACTGTGCCTTTGAGCTACATCCCCAGGGCGCCAATCATTGGTAGAATCAAGCATCTGGTATTGATTGCGTGAGTTTAGTTATACGCTCATCTTAAAATCATCGATCTTTAATACCAGCAAGGCCCTGACTTGCCTCTCTTCGCACCTTTTGTCACAGGACCTAAAATAAAGGGCAGTGCTGACTGCCGCCTTGCATTCTAATCTGTATACTGTACTACATGTGAGTTCTGAATGAGTGCAACTGCACAGCATTAAGGCACAGGGCTGGTTTTCTCTCTTATCAAATAAATAAGTGATGTGTGTTTATAACGTCACTGCTTGCTGGGCTGCCTTCTGAAGGGCTCCTTAAAAAAATGCTTACTTACAAGAGTGACAGGCACTGATAATTGGTATTGACTCAATAAAATCTGTGGTAAGCCTCTTTTTTGACAGAAGGCCTAACAAACATCGTAAGGTATCCCGAGAAGTCGGCTTCAAACTAATGTGTCTTCCCAGCAGGACTTTCTTGGGATGCTAAAACAAATCCCTGTTTTATAAAGGCCCAAATAAAATAGGGCTGGACAGAGCTCAGTAGTTAAGAGTACTTGTTACTCTTTCAGATCACCCTGCACCCACACCAGGCAGGTCCCAACTGTCTGAAGTTCTGGTTCCATGGAATCTGACACCCTCTTCGGGCTCCTCAGGGACCCACACACATGGCACACAAACAAACAGAGATATACACAGATACAGAAATAAAAATAAAATATATAAGCAATAAAATCCTAAAATCAGCATCATTTCCTTTTTCTGGAAGACCATCGGTGTTCTTTTTATGTATTTGGTGGAAGTGCCAAGAAAGCCAGCACAGCCCTGTCCAGATACTTGGTGTGCACCAAGTGCTTGGTAACTCCAGCAGAATGAATGGCGTGAAAATCCACACAGTGAAACTGTATTGCAGGATTTAACTTCTGTGAATTCAGCAAAGCGAGGGTTGGGGAAGAAAGGACAGTAAGGAAGAAGGGGGCGGGGGAGTTAAGAACCAAGGACTCCTTAAGTGTGCATGCAATCAGGCACACGGACTTGTGTTCCCCAGCTGGCCCACATTCCTGTTTGCTCTTCATGGCATCTGGGGCTTAATCAAAGAAAGCCGGCTTGGTTCTAATGGTGGAGCAGAATCCCATTATGAGATGCTGCTGGGTGACTGCCTTCAGGTGGCTGCCACAAGGGATTGTCAAGGGCCGTTCTGACATTACAGGCATCGGACTTCCTTGTTTTAGAATTAAATCCATCCTCTGCATCCTTGAAAAGGCTCTTAGGACAATACAAGATTAAAAATGAGGTTAAAGATTTAGTTTCCTGCACTCCAAATTAAACTGACCATCTGGGGCCATCACCAAGCAGGCACACCCTTCTGCACCCCAGGAACAGCGAGGAATCCACTGGTTCTATCGGGCTGGCATTTCTGGTTCAGAGTCCTTGTGGTTGAGACAGCCAGCTGCATTTAGAAGGTGGCCTGGGGCCAAGTCACAGCAAAGGCACCTAACCTTAATCTTGACCTTACTGTCCCCAGTTCAGTGTGACCCACAAGCTGGCACCACTATAGGCACCGCGCTCTGATGCTGGCACAAAAAAATCAACAGGACAATCCTGCAGCCACCAAGCTTAGAACAAACAGACACAGGTCAATGTTTTCGTTACATGGTGTCCTTGCCCCCAGTATCACACGTAGGCATCTAACATTCTAGGCAGGCAACCTGAGAAGTGGGGCCGAGACCCAGTGTATTCTTTCTTGAGTTTCATATCGTTCTTAAAAGTCTAATTTTAAAATCTTAGCACTCTATAGGCTGAAACAAAAAGATCATGAATTCAAGGTCACTGTAGCTACACAGAGAGGTCCTGTCTCAACCTCCTTTCCAAAGAACAAACATCTAGCTTTCAAAGGCCATGGTGGGCACCTACTTATCTCTGACATTTTTAGCAGAGTAGCAGGAAGCAAACAACTAAAGACTCACTTTGGGGGAGTAGTGTCTACCTAAATACAACTAAAAAAAAGAATTTACGCAATACCTATTACATGGACTGACAAAGACTAGCTGGTTATTTATTGGAAATATTCCAAAATTAAAATTCCACCAGTACTGCAGAGAGCCTAACTGTCTGTACGTCAATTGTGCTTAGAAAACTAAAACCCACAGACTTATTCCACTGAAACTGGTCCCAATTTAAGTCTTGTGGGATACTTAATTGGAGCCACTACTCTGAGCATACTCATGCAGACTAACTATTAACACCCACTGACTGTTGCAGCCTACCAGTATTTTCTCTCTCATTGGAAGCTAGAGCCAAGTCAGCTGTTCTCAGAAAGAAAACACTGTATCCATTCGCGGACTCTTAATAGATAATGGCTGTGAGCCAGACTGACCCTTAGAAGTTAATGTAACCCTAAATGAGTTGAAATGCAAAAATAACCCACTAGAGGGTTAAAAAGAAAGTTTCTACCACTTTGGAAGGCATAATCACTGAATAAGTCGTATTCCGCAGATACATTGTTCTTAACCGCTTAGCCCCCTTTCCTTAAGGAGCCCCTACCGAGGGGGAAAGTACTTTGCTCAGCAATAAACACAGTCAGCACACCCCCACACCTCAAGCGGCCTGCGGTTTAAACACTATCTGCTCTGGACCAGAGAGAACTTCCTTCTCTGAGCATCTAGGCCCAGTAGGAAAGAGCTGCTATGTCTAGAACAATTCCTGAGGTACAGTTCTCTTAAGAACGCAGCAGGGTGCACCAGGAAGCCCCAACGGGGCTTTTACATAAACTGTTCCACCTCACACTGTTCCTTCCAACTGACCGGGGCCCCAAATAAGCAAAGACTAGAAGGTGACAGAAGACAGCTTTGTCCACTCCAGCGTGCAGCGGGGACTCCAGAACTGGCACTAATTCCGAGCTCCCAGGGGTCGGGGAACCCCAACTCCTCAACCTAGGTTATCTCTTCCCACCCTCAACACAAAGAGTGGGAAGTCACAGTTTGGGAGGGCCTTAGATTTTTCAACCCAATCCAATATTGAAGGGCCAGCAGGGAGGACCCTCCAAGCGAGGGCACGTGGTCGCCGGGCTCCCACCGCGTCCGGCCAGCACAGGAAGTTTGGGGAGCTGGGCAGGGGACTTGTGCGTGTGTGTGTGTGTGTGTGTGTGCGCGCGCGCGCGAGCATGTATATGTGTGTGGGGGTTGGGGGGTCTGGGCTCCAGCAGTGC